CCCCAAAACCCCAAAACCCCAAAACCCCACATTGTTCATAATGAGAGAAATTTGGTTATAATTATATTTACTCATTATTATTTGATAAGTAATCACTAAAGTGCGAAGACTATTTAAACCTAGATTTTTATTAAAACACGATAATCTAATTTATTCATCTCAATTGAATACTTCCTTATGCAACCGACTACTGCTGTTTAATCTTACCACATTCTAGAACAATGTGGTTAAGGCTCCTATGGAAAAGTAATGATGGGTTACGTGCCAGCTACCTATTAGCCATTAGCTATAAAAATAGTAAATAAATAGGATCAATAATTATGTAGGTAAAAAGAGATGACATGGCTGAAGTGGAAAGAGATATCATGAATTTACTAAATTCAAGCGAATTCATTGGTTTCCCTAGGATTTATAACATGAAATGTCTCAGTCAGGAATATTAAACTATCCCATAAGAATAGCTGTTGGTAACTGACCTCTTGGGTAGTTCACTCTCTTGGTACTCTAAGTAAAAGCATTTCACACTTTCCTAAGTCTATAACATAGGAATATAACTTGTAATCATTTGTTAATTAGAAATCTATTTTACTTCAATTTACTCATCAATTATTTACTCTTACTTTAGCTTTAAAGAATTAGAGATTTCCACACTATTGGATATGTCCATGGGGATATAAAACCTTGTAATATACTCGTAGGTAAAGCGCTTCCTGCTGAACCATAGATCAAGACGAAAGCTCATTTTGTTGGAAAAACTTTAAAAAGAAGCTCTGAAGTTAAAACTTCATAGAATCAAATGCCATCATTGTTAAAGCAAAGCAACATTTTCTAGGCCACGTTTAAACTTGACTAAACTTAGACACTTTATTTGATTGATTATGGAATATCAACTCCATATGTTGACTCAGATGGCTCTCATACTGCATAAAAGGTTTTAAGAAACATAAGATGCTCTCCTTAGTATGCAGGGCTTAACCAAATTAATGGAATGAGTAATATTTATATTTTAAATTATTTAGCTTTGTGCAGAAAGGATGATATAGAAGGTATATTCTACACTCTGGTTTCTCTCCTTAGAGTGCGATCCTCAAAAATTTCAAATTACTCTAAAAAACCAATGTCTGACAATGATTTACTCAAGGCTTTGGGAGGAATCAAAGATGAAAAATAGCTTTAGGGGTAGAAAGAACTACTTATTATAAAAGAAACCAAGAGAAATTTGAGCGAATAACTTATAAGTTCTTATTTGCCTGGTAATTTTAAATGACTAAAAATTATAATAGATGGATTCGTGGAATTTTACCAACACATGATTCAATTGTAATTTGAATCTGAACCAGATTATGACTTGCTGCTAGATATTCTAATATAGGCTAAGCTAAAGTTAAGTCTAACTAGTTCACAATTATAAGATAACATAGTAGATGAAGAGGTAAATTTAATTAAGTGTAAATATTTTTAGCTATATTTAACAGATCCCTTATTTTAAAAGTATCATGAAAACCTAGTCAGAATATAAGAGAGAAAAAATATTTTCTAGAGTGTCACTAGGGTGTCATGTATATTGAAAGAAAACAACGTACCCAAATTGTTGAAGAAAGATTCTAGGCAAAAGAAGCAAAACGCTCTCAGCCCATTTATCAAAATTAGATTAAACTACAATCATCCCAAATTGGAGCACTTAAAAAAACTTCCCTAGATAAAAACAAAAACAAATAACAATGAGATGGATGAAACTTAGATTCCAGATGAAAATAAACCTGAAATGCTTTCACCTTATCAGACCTTAAGAGGAAAAATTGGCTATAACATCAACCAAAATTTATGTAAAAATTAGGAGTAATTAAGCTCAGAATAAGCATAATACTACAAATTGGCTAATAAAAACACTTAATCTAAACCAATGACTTCGGACATTAAATACTCCTAAAGATATAAATTTATAAGTTGATAGAAAATAATATAAGTACTTAGATTTAATTTTATTATATACTCTTTACTTTTCTTGCAAATCTAATTATTTGGGGTTTTGGGGTTTTGGGGTTTTGGGGTTTTGGGG